TTGATAAGTACAAATTCGAAATTAATTCAGTTTTGTTTTTATCAATCAAACATTTTTTGAATCTTTGAATAAAATTTTTTTTATGTATTTTAACATTATTTCATATTTTATCGTTCTATTTCTATGAATAGAATTATTATTGATTTAGATAATAAATAAATCAATAATACTTTTAGTTGTGTTTATCTTCTCCGTTCTTAAGAACTTACTTTTTTCTAATGAAATAATTGAAATATCATTAATTATTAATTGTCGATTTTGTTGCATAGAGATATTTGATGAATTATTTAATTGTTCTGTAATTTCTGTCAATTGATTTTTTAAACAACTTAAATCCATTTCATTAAATTCATTTTCGATCTGAAATTGCTTTATTTGTTCATTTAAATCATTAAATGTCTTTTCAATATCATTAATATATGTTTGTAATGATTCAGTGACAATTTCTTTCCAATCTTTTGCTGTTTGTTGAATTTTCTCAATTGAATTTCTTTCCCATTGATCAATTTGTTTTATAACTGAAGAATTTTGTGGATTTTGTCTTTGTTCATTAATTGTTTCTTTAAATTCATTATATTCACCGGCGATATGATGTAATTCATTATTTAATATTTGACGATGTTCTGTTAAATCAAGTAAACAAAATCTTTGTGAACATCCATCACAAGAATATGTTATTTTATTTTTATTACATATAGAACATAGTGTCTTGTTATTTCCCAGTGCCATGTCGTTGAATATAAACTTAATAATTCAGTGACAATAAGAACGTTGTTTACTAATAGAAGAAATCGAAAAAGAAGTTTTCTTGTTGCAGCAATTGCTAATTGGTAGATAAAATTTCACTGATAAAACTGGTATAATATCTAAGATGGTTGAATAAAAGATGTTTTATTCAATGAGGATGTGAATGTTAGTGAGTTCTCATTGCTCCACACTCAGACTCGTGAATGTTTATTACAATTGACTTAATCTAACTGATACCTACTTATAAGAGAAAGATAATATGTAACACTTTCTTTTCATTCTTAAAATTTTTTATATCCTAATTTAACTTTCGGTGAGTTTGTCGCTGCTAATTGACTCATGATAGATTAAAATATTAGTAATATCTTACAAATAAGAAATAAAAGAATGATACTCTCCTCATAATACTCTTTTCTTCAATGCCCTTGAAAATATATCTTCTCGTCACCGAAGAAAACGTTGGATAAATACTGACTAGACACGCATGGATACAATGAAAGAAAAGAAACAAATATAAATATGATATTTTGCTCGTCTCTTTTGTCTATTGAAAATAGCCTTCATACGTGATTTTTTTGTCTCATTATTATTTGTGTAATGTAAAGTGGCTTTATATGATGACTTGATATATCTTTTTTCTTTCTGTGCTTGACAAACTATCGTCAAAGAAAGGTCAACGAAGAAAAAGAATATACCAATATTGAATCATTATTTTTTGTTTCATCCATATATGCTTGTCTTTTCGAAGTACATGTTCGTAATACGACAAAAAGATATAGTTAGTTAAGTTGGAGTATTCTACATGAGAATGAATCGAAAGACAATCTTGAGGGTGGGTTTAGATTTAACAAAATACTATCTATGATCAAACCTACCCTTAAATAATTTTTATTTCAAATCAAATTATAAAAAAATTCTTTTCTTTTCTTCAAAGTTAAAATTTCATTCACAAAATTATTTCAAATTTTTGAATTCGACGATTTTCACAATCAACAACATAAAGATTTCCTTCATCATCGAAAGATAAACCTGTGGGACCATTCAATTGATTTCCTTCACCATTTTCACCAACAACAGCTTCACCTTCTTCCTTTCCTTCACACCAACGCATTATTCGATGATTTCTACGATCTGCTATATAGATTTGATCCAAATCATCAACAATTACTCCTCGAGGTCCAAACAATTGATCGAGATTTTGTCCTTTCCCATTTCCTCCAGCCACAATTCTTCCTTCTTTTGCATCTTTTCTCCATTTCATCACACGATGATTGTTGTTATCTGCCACATAAACAGATTGATGTTCATCAACAAAGATAAAAGTAGGAGAACTAAGTTGATTGAGTTGATCACCTTGTCCATTTCCGCCTGCCACTATAATTCCTTCATTATTGTATTCTCCTATATTCCATCGTCTTACTTCATTCTTCTTCCAATCCGAAACATAAAGAAATCCATGTTTATCCATTGCCAAGCCCATACAATCAATATTTTCAATAAGAATTTGTTGATTTTGATTCAGCCACTGAATCACTCGTCTGTTTCCCCAATCAGCAATGATGATTGAATGATTTTGTTGATCAGCAACTACATCGGTTGGATGATCCAACTGATCCATTCGATCTCCTCTGCCATGTCCACCTGCAATGACTTGTCCTTCCTTTGCTTTATATTTCCATTCAACAATACGATGATTATCATAATCAGCAATGAAAATATTTTTGTTTTTATCAATAAAGATTCCCATAGGACCGCTAAGTTGATTTAATTCTTGTCCTTGTTTATTTCCACCAGCCACAGTGATAGCGTTTTGTTTCCATTCGTCCCATTTGGATTCTAGAAAATTACGAAAAGAAATGAAGTTGAAAAGGAGAAAAAGATTTTGTTGATTTATTTTTAACAATTTGTTAGATTTTATTATTTATTTTGATTTACAATTTAAATATGAATATTTAGAAAAATATATCTTGTTGAACATATTGCAACTAGAATAAAATCTTTCTTGAGTATTTGCGAAAAATTTCTATATTTTTGTTTTATTTAATATAATTTATACATATAAAAGATCTATTGGTTTCATTCTGATGATTAATGTGTTGGAACTTGGAAATATCAAAGAATAAACAAAAAACAGTAAAAGACGATTAATGACAGAAATTGAATTAAAATGTAATAAACTAATTGAAATGTAGCAATACGACAAAGATCTCTAAATTAATTACATACGCTTTAATGAACTTAAATGAAATATAATTTATTCATATATTTACCAGAGAATATCAATATATAATCATAATAAACAAAGACACTTTTCAATTTATTCTTTTATAGATTTGTTTGGATTAATTTTTATTACAAAGTCATTTCAAATTGCTGATCATCGAGAATTATGGGACAAAATATTTTTCTTCTCAAGAAACATCTTTCTATAATATTACACTTTCAAAAGAACTCTTTGATATTCACTTGAGAATAGTTGTATATACTGTATATAAATTGATGGAATAAGTAACTTGCGCGATTCAATGAAATTCTATTTAATTGTAAAATTATAAGTTCAATTGTCTCTCATTTATTGAATAGTTAAAATACTTCTTAGATGTCAATATTAAATAAAGAAAATTTACTTCAACTATTTCTATTTATTCTAATACAAAAATATTTGACTACTAGTCGAGAAATGCTCTTTATAAACCAAAACATGGGACACATTTATCCCACCGTCTGTTAAAGAGTTAGTTTAATATTATTTTATATCTTATCATTCCTTTTTTTATATACAAGTAAGTCAAATTTTCTATTTCTACTAATGTTATTGTTATTAATTAATAATACTCTCAATTGTTTTCATAGTTTTTCAACACAGTACTATATATAATCAGAATTATTTCTTAAAAACTTACTTTTTGAAGAAATAAATGAAATTTCATTGATAAATGATCGAGAATCTTGCTCAATAGAAATATTTGGTGGATTATTGAATTCTTCTGTGATTGTCATCAATTGATTTCTTAAATAGTTTAATTTAGTTTCATTAAAGTCATTTTCTTTCTGAATTTGTTTTATTTGTTCACTTAAACCATCAAGTTTCATTTCAATATCATTAATAACTGTTGGTGAATATTTCAAGACAATTTCTCTCCAATTTTGTGCTTTTTCTTGAATTTTCTCAATTGAATTTCTTTCCCATTGATCAATTTGTTTTATTAATGCATCATTTTGTGGATTTTGTTTTTGTTCATTTATTCTTTGTTTAAATTGATCATAATCCTCAGTAATATGTTGTAATTCTTCATTCAATAATTGTTTTGGCTCTGCTAAATCCGTAAAAGAAAATCTATTTGAACATCCTTTACAAGAATATATTATTTTTTCCTTATTACATGTAAAACATTGTGTTTTGTTATTTGTCATTCCCATGTCTTTGAATAGAAGTTGGAAGAAGAAATAAATATCTCCTTCTCTACTCTTATACTACTAAATGTAATAATTCAATAACAATAAAAGCATTGCTCGGTCGTAAAAGAAGTCGAAAAAGAATTCTTTTTTATGACAAAATTCGAGTAGTAAAACTGATGTAATATCTTTTGAGAGTGCAGTGGTGGTATATAACAAGAAAATGGTCACATCCACATTCACCTTCGATGTAGAATGTAAAACTTAACTGTGTACTTTTTTATTTTTGAGATAAGAAAAAATAAGATTCTACGCGATGACTTTTTATCGTCTCAAATAGAATCCTGTTTTTTTTTATATAAAGAAGAAAAAATCTCTCTTTTTATTGTTTGATATCCTTTTGAAAAGTAATAATAATTATACGACAAGTATGTGTAACATATCTTTTTGTTTCTCTTATATAATATATAAAATATACTATTCTTTAGCAACTATTGAATTTTTCATATGAGTTTTTATCATATAATATAGCATTTTATATAATGAAAAGGTATTAATCTTGAAATATCGAAATATTATCACAACAAAAGCGTTAAATTTGTGAATTGCAAGAATGAAGGAGTTTTATTTTATAACAACTAAATGATAATATCTTTCGTTTTGATTTTCAATATCCAAATATATTTGTATTGACATTTGAGATTCTCTATCTTTAAAAATCTTCCATTATAATCAATCAAAATGTAATTGATATTTGCAGATGATAATGGATGGGTGTGGATGTGTGAATGGATATTCACTTCTTCTCGCATCTACATCCATACCGACATCTACACCCACACCCTAAAGAAAATATCCATTACTGAAGCATCGGTTAGTCAAGATTTATCTATTCATTTCTAATTAAAGTATTTTTAGCATGAATAATGAAAAAGAAAACAGTCGAACTACGGAAGTACTGATGAACGTATCATCGTCGAAAGATTCTTCCAATGCCGTTCGCTGTTGGATGCAAATATTTTTCTTTCCATTGATGAGCATATTAAATGTAATAATTCTTCTTACAAGTATTTTGTATGCAGTAGATCTTTTTGTTCAAAGCGCTTGTCGAACATGTCACAATGATCAACCATTTTTGATTTCATTTCTCATTGGTAAAAATACTTTTGTTAGTATCAATCATTTATCTTTATATATATACATTTTGAAATTAGATGAATTACTTGGACCAAATAAAAATGAATTGATTGTTGGTGGATTTGATGTAGAAACAATATTCACAACGATTATAAATGATTGTGGAAATCAAATACATTTTAGTGATCATTTTTTTAGTAATCAGGTAAATCCTTTACAAACTGATGTTGATCAAGCAATGAATGAGTTAAATAAGAAAATCGATGATAAATTCAGTGCTTCGATTACCGCTATTAATATTACATCAGATCTTGAACGTCTCGACCAGTTCTCTATGATAATTAACTCAACCGAAATTCAAAATAAAATACAAGAAATACGCAATGATTTGCAAGCAATAGAAATAGAATTCAAAAAGATCTCAAGTTCTATTCCAATAGACCAGAAATTATTATTAATCAAACGATCAATGACGTTAGTATTGAAGAAAAAAAGATTGAATGAATACATTGTTTGTTTTCTTTTAGTTCGAAACGTATGTGAAAATAATTCTGAAAACGACAACTGATACTTGTCCTCTATCACTAGCTATACTATACAAGGCAGACACATTTATATGCCATCAATTTGCTATATCTATTAATGGTCTTTGGTTCAGTCTTTTTATCTATCTATTTTTCGTTATAGTTGGCCTCTGTATATTTGGTCTTTGTATTTACAGACGATTATAATTATTTGTTTTTTTATTTTTAACAAATTAATTCTACTGAAAAATTTTCATTTATTGCTAACTAATTATTTTTGTTTGCATATCAAAAAACTAGAATATGATCACAGGATTACACGTTGATTAATTAATTATGATTTACGTTTAATTATGGGTATGGTTTCACCATGAAAATATTCTATACGATGTTCTGCTGATTTATCTACGCAACTATCCTGTTTATGACATGGAATAAGATAATCAGGTAGATTTGTATGCCGATAAATTGCACGATGAACAGGATCATGTTTTTCTAAACAATTTTTATCTTGCGCACATCTAAGAGCATTATGACGTTCATGTGTAAGATAAGGTTCCTTGGCTTTTCTTACACATAATTCAGAGTAACCACAAGGATGAGAATATTGTATAGTATGCATCGATGAGCGCTGTTGTAAACAATATATAGAATCTTCACAAGGTTTCAATGTTGGAAGGGCATCATTCAATGGTGCTGGCTCAATTGCATTCGTACACCGACATAAAAATATGTCTGCTACTCTGCGTAACGTACTCGGGGTATTCAGTTGTGTTGGCGGAATAACTTGCATTGGTCGCCCTCCTCCTGTTCCATTATTATTGAAAGCATTCTGATCGACATACGAAGCTGCAACAAGATATTTTTCAAGTAAATTCGATGTATCTTTTTTGAAATTCATATCAACTGTTGGATGTAACTCAGGTATTAATTCAAAATTAATCGTTAGATTTCGCACAGGAACATCTTGAGATCCAGCACTAAGATGAATAAACTCTAATTTCGATAGATCGAATTCAGATGTATTGAATTGACATTCAATCTTTTCATGATTATAAATACTATTTGGTCCAGCATGGGAAAGTGTTACTTGACCTGTCATATGACTGATTTTGAGACAAAAAGTGAAGTAATCATCAGTATTACAACCTCGATAGAATGTATTTGATTTAGCTTTATATCGATTTGTAGTGACATTATTACCATGTTGAAATGGTAAACCATCATTCAAATAAGAAAATGCTTCATGGTATTCTTCAGTCACTGTTGATGGTTTTTCTGCAATATAACAAACAAGGCATTGAAGATTGAATTGCTGTTCGCCTGGAATAAGTTTTTCATTGGCCACTGTTAACATCATATCACCATTCATTGCTTGCCAATAAATATAAGTGAATTTATGGCCACCATGTGATTGAGGTTTGTCAAGATAATATAAATGATACGCCTGAGAAATGGTAGTTGGTGATACCACATGTTCTTCAAATTCGGAAGCAGCGACTGTAATGACTATACCACGTGAGATATTTGGCTTATTCATTTGATCTCTGATAGCTTCACAATGTTGTTCAAACACATATTTTTGATATGGAAGGTCGAGAATCTCTTTTAATGTGGTGCCTTGTTTGATCTCATCACTTTCATAAATGCTAATCATAAGTGAATCTTTAAAAGCTCCTTTAGCTGATTGCTGAGCTTCAGGTGAAAGGGATTCAAAGACATTTTTTGGTATATAAACACGATCAATATAATCTAATGGAATTAGTTGTGGCAAATGTGCTTCGAATAACTCATGAGAATCGACATTTATCCATCGGTCAAGAATAGCTTCAATACTGACATTCATTGATTTGCGATCTGCACCTGTTAGCGCAATTAATTCTGAAGCTGCTGCATATTCATAACCATGAACAGAACAATGTAGTCTTGAGCTATGAAAATGTTCTATCCGTTTACCATCATTTCCTGGATCTCTCGTCCATGGACGATGTGAATAAGTGGCTCTGCTATGAAATTTAGTTGCAGCTTGGATAGAAAAGTTGGCATCCGGATGAAACATAATTTCTTGCTTAAAAGTGATAACAATCTCGCCATAGTAATGACCAAGATTCGGTCCAAGTACACCAAATACATGTTGATCTGTTCCTAGTTTTTTATCAACGTGGTATCTGATTCCAGTGGGATTAGCATTTAATTTAATCGATGCTTGAGCAATTTTAACTGACCATTCATGAATAACCTGGATATCTCTTGGATTAAGAGGTGGTTGCAGTTTTTGCTCGATTCGCTGAATTTTGTAGCCATAGTCTGAATCTGATAAAGTTTTTCCGTATGAGTTTGCTTTTATAAATTCAGCTTCGACCAATATTTCAATCAGTTTACATACATTGTCTTTGACATTTGGCGTATTATGATGAAGGAATATTAGACGCACTCGACTATGTTGTTGGACAACTCTGACCACATGTTCTGGTTTTCTTAATAAGTCCATAAAACGACGACTCATAACATGTCCTAGTATAAGAATTGATTCAAAAATATCTTTTCGACATCGATGTACAGGTTGTAATGCACGTATCCAATTACGTATTTCTGGAGAAATCGATGTTTTTTCCCAGTTCATTCTTTCTACGTAGTTATTCACCATTTTAATTAATTGACTTTGATTACGAGCGAAATTGATAGATGCATTAAGATTACTAGATGGGGCTACACTAAAATGATCATGGTTTTTGTTATGTCGATATTTTTTGAAATGATCCTCATTAAATCTATCCAAACATTTGAAACCTGGTATTTGACATAAGATACGAATATCTCGTATATCATGATGAGTATAGGATTCCAAATGATCCTCTTGAGTAAGTTTTGAACATTTATTACCGTCAGGACACAGTCGACGAGCAATATGAATTGATATTCCCAAATGATTTTCTTCTTTAATTTTGCAATCACGACCGTATGGACAAATATGTGAATATTCAAGACAATGATCTTCTATTTCAGACGATACTGTTGAATTTTTCGATTGAACAAATTCAATATACTTTGAACAGTTGTACGGTGTTAATGGGCATGGTGGACGAAATGAATGTATTATATTATCAAGATGTGCTTTATCATGAATATTAGCACAACAATTGTCATAGAGACATACAGATTTGCAATGACGAAACGATTTTAAATGTTCCTGATCTCGTCTCCGATATTTTGGACATTTAGAACCATCCGAACAATTAGGCAGGTGGCGATAAGCTACTAAGTGTTTTTGACTAATATTTGTACAATCACCGCCTTGTACACAAAATTCTGGATGATCTAAATCTAACAAATATATAGGGTCAGTATCATTACATTCATCACCCAATTTACATTTAGTATTATCTATATATGAGTCATTCCACGTAAGCCATGACCAAAGTGCACTTAACGCGCTCGATCGAGGTCATCTGATTTTATTCATTTTTAGATATGTTGTAGAGGGTCTTATTCTGAGTTTTTTGGCGCAAACCTCTTAAAAAATTATTGAATTCTTGCTGTTTCATAAGCATTTTACCAAATACCTTATAAATAACCAAATTAACGAACTGGAGCCCGAATCGGACAATTTTTCGGGAATGGCTAAACCGATTGAAGTGAAACTTTGTTCAGACATGTATCTCCACAAGACCTGTTCACAATAAAAATTTTGTCCCAAAACTCGGAACAGTTAAGACCTTATGACTTGTTTAACATATTGATTTTGGAGATGAATTTTTTCAAGATATCGACCGATTTAGGAGCTGGTCTTTATAATTTGGTAGTACTTCCTTGGGGCCACAAGTCTATGAAAAGATCAACCTGGGATACCTGCAGATGGTCTGTAGAGAAGATCATTTTTCGGAAGATCTCTATAAGGCCCATATATCATATATATACAATTTTTTTTTTCGTTTTTATTTTGTGGAATAGACTTAGGTAATCTTTCACGTAGACCACAACGATCATATCCATTTTCTTTTATTCTAAGTTCTCTATATAGAAATAAGAGAGAAAACAGGAATATATCATTGAACATGTATGATACGAAATTATATATTTTCTCTGAATGATAACATATAGAGGTAACTTTTATTATTCATATTCAAGATTTGTTTTATTTGAATGTTAATTATGAAATCGTTTCGGGTTTACTATTGTCGCATACATATTTATTTTATCGTTATTTGGATTCTTAAAAATTAGTAGAGCATTAATGAATAAGATAAACTGAAAACTTAATCAAAGAATATATTGAAGAGATGGGTGTGGATGTGGATATGAATGTAGGAAAAAGAGATCAATACCCTCGCCCTTGCACCTTTACTCACACACACACACACACACCCAAGATCATCAAAATCTTTTTTCTCTATCTAGGAAAAATAGCGTTTTGGCGGTGTTTATATAAAGAAGTCATTTTCAATTATTTTATTCTTTGGGACGAAGTTTACGTATGATAAACAAGTATTTTAGTCAGAATGAGCTCGTTTAAATGTCGAGATGTTGTTTTCTGAGCTCACTAGGATCAATTATCTTAATTTAGTTTTCGAATTTTCATATGTTTGTCTAATTGAAAGAGCACTATAACTAATAATACTAACAAAAAACGAAACGAAGATAACATGACCACGATAAAAAAAGTATTCTGCTACAATTCTAAATCCTGGAAGGATGAGTCTTAGCCCCATTAAATATTTATCCCTTTACTCGTGCTCTCTCTGGTTCTTCTTTTCAATCAATCAGATGAGAATACGCATTCTCTCCCTTATATCAGGGTTAGAGCATCATAATTGTTCTGTTAAAGTAATAGGTCTCGTTGCTCTCTTTCTCTTCCATACAGAGACTTGTATGTTTATTCTCGATAGCAAGGGAGAGAACGTACGCCCAAAAGAAAGGTGCGCGTTTGAATATTCGCATGAGGATGTGGATGTATATATTATATTATATTCATTCGCATCCACATCCACCTTCAAGATGGTGGCTACCATTGTTGATAATTACTCAACACTGGCAACGTATTCTACTTGTTAACATACTACACTGTGAAACAATCTTACCTGATGCACCGGCTTTCGGTTTTGGAGTCGACGGTGGTGTTGTTGTGGCTACTTGCTTTGATATAATCTTTGATTCAGTGACATCATCTTTCACTTTCAAATCTCCCAGTTTTGCGGCAGATAAATCAACAGAGTCATTTGTACATGATACTGGGATGAGCATCGGTTCATCGGACTGAACTTCTTGCAACTGAATAGTTTGAAGACCGTGACCTTGATTGAGAATGCCTTTCACTTGAAATTCAGTAGCAGCAAGCAATAGTACTTCGTCTTCAGATGGATAATACGAGTGTTTTCGAATATCTCTAGCTGAATTGCAATGAATAGTAAACATTGTTCTTGTACCTTTCATGCCTAAAAATTGTTCTGATTGGAGAACTTTGATGGAAGTTGTACATGAAGAAAAGCCCCACCATATGAATGTTTCGTCTTCTTTATATTGTTTGCTTAAATCTAATTTGACGCCTCGAAACACTGTTAGATGGGGAATCTGTGGAAGTCGAGATAATGCTGCAAGAAAAAGGCGAAGAAAGAGAAACCATGGTTTAAGATTTGTTCGATTTTCTGACCGTAGAGTAGTATTCAAAGCGCAATAAAGGCATTCGTTCAATGGCGCCCATTCCATTGAGTAGAGCATGATCGAAGCTGATTCATCCTGTGTCAAATTATCAGCCGGCTTCTTACATCGTTTTTTGGCCACATATGCGTGACTTTTCACTTTTGGTAATATAGATACGAGCGGTTCAACTGCTTCTTCAAGTGAAACAATAGGCATTTCCTCGTAACCGCTGATGGGCATAAGAAAATCCATAGGTTCTTGTGCAATGTCAGTGAAGCGTAGAACACGTTGAGTAAAATATGAATCTCCGCCATCTGTTGCCATAGTGAGCACAAATGACTAATTTAAATATCACTTATAGACGACAAATAAGTATCTGAAAATTAATCAGACAAAATTCATAAGTTAACGAGATAACGTTTTTGATGCAAATATGAAAACAGAAGAGGATTGTTAATTCAACTCGCGATGTTCTACACTACACAGAAATAGAAATGAGTGGGTGGGGTTGGGGTATCACTAAATAAGAGATATCCACACGCATTCTCAAGAATAAAAATAAGTCAATGGTAGGACATAACTTGCTAACAAAACAGAGAAAAAAGAATGAATAAAACTTTCGATAAACAACAGCACACACGTTTAATATATAATATCTTTGACGAAGTGTGAAAAACCACATAATTAAAATTTTGGTATGTTTTATTTTTTATTAGTTGCTGTCGCTAAATAACTGATTCGGACGGTTACTTAACTTGAATACAGAATTTGTTTTGGTACAATACCGATATGATTACAGTTGTAGAGAAAAATGTATGACGATGAATATCAAATCGATATTCAACCGTTACGTCTTATTATCCTTACCAATAATTCGCCTAGCTCAACAAATTCGGTACTCGAATCCAACACGATCCCAGACGAAACCGATAGGATTTCAATCGGTTATCGATGGATCCGGAATTCTCATAGAATATCGGTGTTGAAAAATTCTGTCGGAGAGTGAAGATATGTCTGCGGGTGTATACACATATTCATCTCATAACCATACCTAAAACGAGAAATATTCTTTTAGAAATAATTTCTTAAAAACTTACTTGTTGATAAAATAATTAAAATTTTATTAATAAACGAATATGAATCGTGTTGAATATATTTATTGATGTTCTGTTAAATCCATTAAACAAAATTCTTTTAAACATCCTTTACAATGAAATTTTATTTTATTTTTATTACATAAAAAACATTGTGCTTTTTTATTTGCCATTGTCATGTCTTTGAATAGAAGTTTATAGAAGGAATGAATACCTCCTTATCTATTTTTTAGATATAAATATAATGACTCAATGATAATAAAAACATTACTAGGTAGTAGAAGAAATTGAAAAAGAATTTTGTTGTGACAAAATCTCATTGATAAAACTGATGCACTATCTAAGATAGTTGAACTAAAATTGAAAATTGATTTGTTTTTAATTTTAAATAGAAATCCAAACGATTCATGTGATCTGTTTTTTTTTCAATGAGAGAATGTTTTAATGTAGATTTGGATGTAAGTAAAGACTTAACATAGATCTTCATCTACAGCTTTATCTACTAGATTAATGATATATTAATCTCCTATTCACTCAATTGCATTGTCATGTTCGCTTTTATCATAATAATCATCCCTCTCGTTTTCAAATTAATTATTGTGTATTACTTTTTTTCATTTATTTTTTATATTATTACAAAAAACAACCTTACCAAAATGAAAGTATTTACATATAAACAAGAATTCCGTAAATGTCTCACTTTGAATTTCATTTTTCATCAAATAAACTGTTCAACAAAAGAAAATCTATCGAAAATAAAAACATTGATAAATATAATGACTTAATTCAAAAAGAATAACGATATCGAAATAAATAAGATGTAGTGTTAGAAAGCGCGTGTGATTAAAGAAAATAAAAATATGTGTTCGGTTGCTGTTAATTAAGTATTGAGAGAGATTGTTGTTCACTGATTTATTATTAGATTCTCTTGTCAGTTTTTTCAAATAAAAAAAGAGAATAGCTTTACTTTTGACAATAGTCAGATTTAATCATCAATCTTTAATAAAAATCAATTTAATTGTTTAAATTAAAAAAAAGATAAATAAATTTATTTTTATTTATTAATTAAATAAAGTATAATATGATATATTGATCATTATTTTTATCATACGAAAATTTAATTAATATATCAATGTGTTGATTATTAAGATCAGAATGATATTTTTAAAATACAACAACAAAATTTGTTCAATATTATTTTTATACGAATATCATTTGAAGTCGATTTTTGAAAATCTAATAAATATGTTCAAAAGTAAAAGATGATTTTCTATAAGGATATTTATTTATAATGATTTTAGCATAATTGTTGAGTAATTAACAGAGAAATTGAATCTATGAGAATTTTTATCAAACAGTAATATTATTATTATTCATATGTGAGTTTTTATAATAAACTTTAAATCATACCAATATTGATATAATGAAAAAGATTCGATGAAAATCATATTTCTTAAGATTATTAATATTCAAACAAAGAATATATATAAGTCGATATGAATATCAATAGAAAAATAAAAAATATTAAAATTGAATATGATCTTAAGAGTATAAATAATGTGATATGTTCTAGTTAAATAATTTTATATATAAAATCAATAATAACTGATCATTAATCAATTTTTAAATGTTAAAAATTCAATAAAATATCTTTTTACTTATTAAATCATCAAAAATATGTTGAAGAATTTAAAGAAAACAATTATCAAGAAATTAAAGAGATTTTAATAACAAATTTTCTATCATAAATAATATTTATTTCTATAATAGATTTCAATTATTATTCCATATTCAATCATATATGTATACGTGTTAATATTCTTTCTTGTAATGAGTCATTTATATTCAACATATGTTCATTTTTTAATTAACACTACAAATAAAACAATACCGATTGATTTTCTTAAGTGTATTATTCCTTAAGGTGAATATCTATGATTACATTTATTTAATAAATTAATTGAATAACTTTTAATTATAGAAAAATTTCCATAATTAATATTAATATATTTACTAAAATGAAAATTATAATTGATTCCTCATGTCAATCGAATATTGTTAATGATAAATATCGAAAATAATCAATTTTTGCAACTGTTCATTGTCAATATCAATCTAAAATATTAGGTTAAATATCGATTAAGACGTTTAGAATAAAATTCTATAAATCTCCTTTATGATTATTTTATTTGTAATTCTCTTGTTTTGCTTCTATTCTTCATCATATCTATGAATATATTTTATGAATTTATTTTCAAATATAAAACTTTCAAATCACATTAATTTTATTTTTGAGAACAAAAGATTTGTTTTCGTAATTGAACTTATTATTGATAAACTAATCCGAAAATATCCAAAAAATACATTTTTCAATTGATTTCATCATCAAACTCAATTATTTGGTTAAGTTTCTACCAATTTCACATAATTAGAAACTAATAATAAATAATTTTTCTTACTTATTAAAATATTTCAACAAAATTTATTTACTCAACGATCAAAACAAAGAAAATATATATTTTAATTTTTCTGAAAAATAAAACAAATCTCTTCAACAGTTTTATTAAAAACAGTCAGATGGAAATATTTTTATTTCATCAAAAATCTTTGAAATTAAAAATCAGTTTTCATTTTTGTCTCATTTCAAAGCTTTTATTAATTTTTCATTTCATTTCAAATTCTTCATTCATTTTTCTTTCAAAATTCTTTTTTTTTGTTTTCATTTAAATAAAAATGCTCATTGATTTAATTTCATTAATTTTATTCTGACAAATCATCTTCCAACTCAATGTTTATTAATTTATTAAAGAAAAATCTTTTCAGCATTTGTATTATTCAACAAAACTTATTTTAGTTCAATTTTTATTATTAAATTTTCATAAAATATTTGTTGCCTCTTCAATTTTGAACAACTCACAAGTTTTATTAAATCAAAAAAACAAAAATATTCGATTATTTTCATCTGATAAAAGTATCCAAATAGAATTCAATCAAACATAAAACCTTCTTCTCAAAGAATTTTTATTTCTGTTCAATTCAAATTACAAAATATTTGCTTTTCTTTTCTTTGGTAAAATTCGATAAAAATCAACAAAAGATAAAGAATTTAACATTTACTTATTCGAAACATCTAATCGAAAATATTAAATTAAAGTCAATTTTAATGGAAAAAAACCAAAAAGATTTTTATTCAAATTTTAATCGATTTTTTTCACTGATTTTTAACAATAAGACTTTACTTTTTCTTTTGTTTCTTGATTATTTATTTAACAAAAAACTTTTTTCTCGTTTTCATAGTCAAAATTTCATTCATAAAATTATTTCAAATTTTTGAATTCGATCATTGACCATATCGACAACATAAAGATTTCCTTCATCATCAAAGGACAAACCTTTGAGATCATCCAAATGATTTCCACCAATAACAATTTCACCTGCACCTTTTCCTTCACACCAACGCATCACTCGATGATTCTCACTATCTGCCACATACATTTGACCTAAATCATCAACAATTACCCCTTGAGGTGAAGACAATTGATTGAGATTTCCTCCTTGACCATTTCCTCCAGCCACAATTCTTCCTTCTTTTGCACCTTTTCTCCATTTCATTACACGATGATTGTGTCTATCTGATACATAAACAGATTGATGTTCATCAACAAAGATAAAAGTAGGAAAATTGAACTGATTGAGTTGATTTCCTAGTCCGTTTCCACCTGCCACTACAATTCCTTCATTGTTATATTCTCCCATTTTCCATCGTCTCACTTCATTCTTTTGATGATTAGACACATAAAGAAATCCATATTTATCTACTGCCAAACCATAACAGTTAATATTGTCAATGAGAACTTGTTGATTTTGATTCAACCATTGAATCACTCGGCTGTTCGTATAATCAGCAATGATAATCGCATTATTCTGTTGATCAACAATTACATCTGTTGGATACCTTAATTGATCCATTCGACTTCCTTTCCAATTTCCGCCTGCAGTGATTTGTCCTTGTTTTGCATTATATTTCCATTTAACAATACGATGATTGGAATTATCAGCAATGAAAATATTTTTCCTTTTATCAAT